GCCGGGGCATCACCTACCGGGTACAGCTCGTGGGGGCACCGAGCGGCCTGCCATGGAAACATCTTGCCTGGTCATCACAGAAGTCACCGGCTGCAGTGGCTCATGACAAGCACGAAAGGCCCAGAGAACAGCCAGGTTTCCATGATCCTGGCAGTAAGAGAAACCTGGATTTGCGTTATCCCTAACCTGCACTACTGGGAGCAGTTTGAGCCGAGCCCACAAGGCCAAGATCGGCTGTGGCCGAGGCTACACCAAGCTTACCGCTGAGATGAAGCAAGTCCCACACAGCAACAGCCCGTTACTACATGGCCTTCCTCATCTCACCACTAGAGGGAAACCTTTGAAGCGCCAAAAAAAAAGGTAGGGACTAATGTTCTTCAGAGGACATTGTAATTAGGAAGAAAAAAGAAAACATGTTGCTTGTTTTGAGAAATCAGGTGTGTATTTGAACACCAGAACATCCCAGGTGTATGAGAAAACATGACTTCATACTGACAAGCAAAATACTGTGTCCATGGGATATAGTTCATTAACTTCACACGGACATTGAAGATGACCCACTGTAGCTTCACAAGCCATTCAAGTTGTAATCACTGTTCTGGGACTGGTGCAGGACTTGTGTGAAGCCCCACGGAGATCACATCACCCAAAGTCAGGAAAAGGATAGAATACATATTTAGTATATCAAGGATATCAGGGACCTTTTGGCCCATCTCCTACTTAGATTTGTCCTTGCAGAACATCCATCTGAAGTACTGGTGCTTTTTGGGAGGATGCAAATATCACCTCCATTTAATGGATGGGGACAGCAGGGCACAGAGAGGTAGGAGCTGATACAACGTCACGCAGTCGCTGTTAAAACCAAGGCACAAAGCAGGTACGGGGAATCGAGTGCAGCTTCCCAGTGCGGTACAGTAGCCATGACAACAAACCCAGGAAGCAACCGGCTCACACTGGGAATTAAACGCATTGACCTGTTGGGAACGGAGCTCGGAAAAGCCTAAAAGTGGCAGTTGACATTTGTTATAGCTACCTGTGAAGGATAAGGGTGAGCCTGCACATGCGTAAGGGCCCACGTGCGCAGAGAGGTGCCTCCCTGCCGAATAAATTGGCCAACAACCACTGTGATAGGAGGAACAGCGACGCACTTAGATGTTCAATGGGCAGAGCGTGGCGCTCCAGGCGGCACTAGGGCAATAGGCCGCTGCATGGAGCTCTCTGGTGCCCATCGGATGCAGCAGCCCATCTGCTCCCTCAGGATGGTCTCGCAGGCAGTTGGGGCGGCAGCGTCTGCCAGGCCCGAGGCGCTCGGCTCCCGGAGACGAGGGAAGAGGCGCTGGTGGCTGCCCGCAGCACCGAGGGACATCCACCTCTGCGTCAGCACCAACCAACCAAGCAGGGTCCCACCGGGAGGAGATGGGAAGAGGGGGACAAGTCCAAGTATGGAAGAACGTGTCATCTAGCGATGTGCCCCTACTCTGTGTCTCACTTTATTCCCATTTTGCCATCTCACAAAAATCTCTCATATGACCTCTGGGATTATAAAATATTGGTATCAGAAGAGATAAAATAACAAATGACCATAAAAAGTACATGTGGGACCTAGCTAGCTGAAACAAATGCAATTTACACATTTTAGAGGCAGCAGCATAACGTTTGGTGGGTGACAATATTCAGGAAACTGCACTGGTTTTACGTATTTTACAGCAGAAAACTCTAAATGCTGAGCATCAAGGTGGGCCTGGTGAGGAAAGAGCATTACCACACTCTGACACTCATTGATCTTGGCTGCTGAAGGGGCTGTTTACAGAGAGATCAAGAATATGACACTGATGCAGCACAGATCCTCTCAACTCTCACTCCTGAGTGCACAGACCCACGGCATCTACATTGACTTAAATAAAAGTTAGTCTTCCTAAGAAAGATATTGATTGTCAGTTACAACTTTAAAAAAGTCCTTTTGCCTTGACTAAAAGCCTATTGCAGCACTGGAAGCACCTGGTCTCTATTGAAATCATTTTGTTTAACATGCTCTCCAGCTAAAGCATTTGGGGAGGCATGAGCACATGTCGCTTTGATTTATAGCCAGTATTTCTATTTTTTCTTAAAGAAGCAGAAGTGCCTCATTGTAGTTACCCGTTTGGCCTGCTTTCAATGAGAGCCACAAAGGGAACCAACCCTTATGTTGCATAACACCACCATGGAGCAAACTGCTTTCTGAATACATGTTTACACAGAAACTGCACAGATCTCATCCCTGCAAGGACAGAAGTGGGGTGATTTTCTTCAGTGATGTGCTCGGGCTTGTTTTTTTTCAATACAGCTCTTAACCTCTTTTTGTATGCCTTTTTCCCCCAGGAGCTACAATCTGTCTTGCAATATTTGATGATGTTCTTTCACACATTGCACAACTCTGACAATAAGGGATACTTTTAGGAGAGCATTCCCTGCCTTGGCATTCTATTTTTCCTTTGCTCAAATGCAGCTGTTTTGCCACAGATACCCCCTGCCCCACTCAAAAGCAACTCATGAACTTACTCCATTTGTGTGCAATTCACCTAGTTGTCTTCCTGCAACTTGGCTGGCTTTATAGAAACTTTAAACCAAAAACCTCACACAACTAATAGAACAGAGGAATTTGAACAAACCTGTGTTGTATGGTTTAGCACCTTGCTCCTCAGAAAACCATCTAACTGCAAGTCTCACCTAATAAGACTTTTCTGGTGGAGGAGGATAGGCTCCAACTTTACAAAGCAGCCCTTATTTTTGTCTTTTCTCTGAAACCACCACTAAAAGTGACATGAAACTTTCTCCCAAGTGCAAGACAGACACCTCACAAAACAAATCTGACAGTCACCAGTCACCTCGTGCTCCTGCTGACTCTGCTATGGGGGACATCCATGCACAAGAGGAGCTAGGACCTCGTGCTGTCAAGACAGTCACATTCTAGTCAAGGAGCTTTAAGTACAAGAAAAAAAAAAGAGCAAGCAAGGAAGAAAAATTTAACATGAAACTATTACTTGAGGAATGAACAGAATGTTTTGATGCAAATGAAAAGCATTTATATTTTAATTACCAGCAACCAAACTGCAAGACACTTGTCTCCACAAACACACTCCTTGCATTCATCTTGCGAGACGGCCACGTTCAGAGGATTAGTTTCATACTCTAAAACAACTCCCACGTACATTCCCAAAATAATTTGCATGTATTACCAATAAACAAACACACATACAAGTTTTCCAGGCCACCCACAGATGTTATAGACAAAAGGAGGATTTGTCACTCATGCCTTAGGAATTATATGTAAAAATGAATTCAACTTTTAATATAGAAAAAGCAAAATGGGAAGAGACTGAGCCTCAGCACTATCCCCTTAACACATTATTCAGCTAGGTTGATAAAGGAAGCTAGATACTGCTCCAAGTAGTTCTTGCTGGGACACGGCTGCTTTTCAGGTGTTAAAATTAGCCAAGACCAAAGAGAGCACTGGCTGCAGGGGGATTTTCCTCTATCAGACCCTACAAGTTCAATTTTGGTGCTGTCCCACTAGAGAGTTCATTTCCCTGCTGAGTCCCCATGAGAACACAGAGGACAGAGCTCTGCAAGCCAGTGCTGAACAAGGTGGCCTCAGTCCACCTGCATACGGCCAGCGCCACCTGAACGGCACTGGAATTGCTCCCCAATCTATCTTTTATTTTGAGTTTCAACTTGATTTTCATTTGGTCTCCCCAAGATTAGTGCCATGGCATCAAGTGTCTTATCTGATTTCCCCAAACATTTTTTTCTCAGGAATCCTTGGCACAGGATCCTGCCAGGAAAATTGTTCCTGTATCAAATCACTATAATCACACACCTATCAGCAGGGGGGAAACCAATATGCTAGCCACGCTCCATCAATACCTGACACTCAGAATCAAAACCAAGCCAACAAAAATGTAAGATCCAAAAAACCTTCAAGGTATCTGATCTTTAGGGAAAGTCTATGCAAACACTGAAGGCAGCCCAGCTAAAGTTGTTTTGCATTAGCTTGGCTGCAAAGGACATTTTAACCCCTGGTTTTGGTGGACACGAGAGGGGCTGGTTCTGTCAGCCCTGGCCACCCACTGGGCAGCAGCCAGCATCCCCGTGATGAGGTGCATGGCTGAAGAGGTGAGAGATCACCCAGGCATCTACCTTCATGACAGAAAATATTTGCCTGCTCTAGCTTTAACAAATCAATGTTTCACAGCATCCTGCACCTCTGCAGCAAGCGCTAGCAGGCAGATTAATATCCCATGCACATCAGGACACCGAGTGCCCTGGCTTCAGCAAACACCTCCTTACTTATGTCTACGTGTGTGACACAGCAGCAGAGGCAGCACTGCCACCTTCCTGAGAAGGAAACCCTCAACTCAGGGTATTTGCTCAGCAGCCTCTTCTGCTTTCATGTGAAGCAAGATTATTTGAGCTGGAACAAGCGTGAAAAGCCTCAGAAAGCAGTAACATTTATGCTTTCTGTGTACCCTGCTCCTTTTTGCACACAGCTTTCATAACCAAGCTCCTCAGAACATGAGGACACAAAAATAAATAAAAAATAAACTACTGTACCTGTCTCATCAGCCAGGTGCTATACTGATAAGCTGCTGCTGCTCAGTTATGGATCACTTCTCTTACCACAGGACTGAAGTTCAATGTCTGATATCCTCTTTAAAAATTAATTGCCCAAGGCACTTTTATTGTCACTGCCAACAAGCACCGCAATCCCTGGCTGCGCAACAGCTCAATTTTAAAGTTGACGAATAATCATAATAATATACCCACACTGCCCAGAGATGAATAAAAAATTACAAAAACATTTTGACAGTACATGTAACAAAATTAAACATTCCCCCGCCACACACACCCCCTTAAATTGAATCATTAGTCACCTTGAGGTTCTGTTCTGGCTCAACAGAAAGGGTCATTTATCACTGACAAGAAAACTGCAAAGACTTTTTAGGTGGTGTAGAATATCCTACCTGGAACAACTTCAAAAAGGAACTTTCCTGGACTTTCTTCACTGCACGGATGCTCAATTACTCTGTTGCCAGGCAGAAAGATGGTTCCCTAAAGAAAAGAACAAAAATCAAATGGGATCAAAATTGCTGCCTTGTTTTTGATAGACTAATGCTTCCTCTTTCCGGACTGGGTATACCTGAATTTGTGCTGCTGCTAGACAGCTGACTTCCAGAAACAGACTGAGGAATTATTATCCAAAAAAGCCACAATCGGGCATTGCTTTAATTGAGGAGTACAGAACTAGTTTTCATCAATTTTCCCTCATGCCCTCAATTGGGGATACTGTGTTTGTGTTCTACCCATAGCTAACTGGGCTGCTAGGGAAGTTTAGCGGGAATTTTATTTGACCTGTGGACTTTATTAAAAGCAGAAGTGTTAACTATCAGAGAGAAAAACGATAAAGGAGAGAGACATGACAAGGCAACAGAAACCTTTTCATAAATAAGTCATCTGACAAAATATGTAAAAAGTTTATCACAAAAATTTGTGTAATGAAGTGTTAAGCTTTGTACAGCTATCTTGCTCATGATAATTGCTACCTTGAGCTGCTTCTAGCTCAAACAGCTCCACACAGCATCCAGTCTTCCTTCTGGGGCCAGTTCCACCGCAGACAGCAAGACCATGCAGAACATGGTTTGAAAAGAGAACGTGCACCCAGAGGGCCGCTTAGTTAATTTTACTGTCTGCTTTCAGAGCTATTACTGGTAACAAGTGCACGTGCAATATGTACTCTCAACACATGCAATATGCACTCTTAAAAAAAAAGCATCAGCTTTGTTTGTGCAACACGCACCTGGAGGCCTCGGGCTAAGGAGGAAAGCTCAAGAAAACCCTTGTACTTTTTCCACTTCCCCTTCTGTCTACTTTCACAGCAGCCTGCCCGCCACCAGCCCATGATACTTCCCTTTCAGTAAGTGCTAGAGCTATGCAGCACGTTGGGACCATCCAAAGGACCCTCTGCTTCCTTGTCACCCACCAGCAGCACGCACACCACAGCCAGCTGCTACAGCTTGGGTGATCCCAAGGGCACCCAGTGTCTTTATTTGCCCATTCAAGTCCTCAGTGCCACAGGAGAAATGTCACATGGTGTTTCATAGAATCATTAAGGTTGGAAAGGACCTCTAGAGCTTATCTAGTCCAACCCCCCTGCACACCCAGGGTCACCTAAAGCACGTGGCACAGGACTGCGTCCAAGCGGGTTTGGAAGATCTCCAGAGAAGGAGACTCCACAACCTCTCTGGGCAGCCTGTTCCAGTGCTCTGTCACCCTCACTGTTAAGAAATTTTTCCTTAAGCTCCTGTGGAACTTTTGGTGCTTCAGTTTGTGGCCATTTCCTCTAGTTCTGTCAGTGGCCACCAGTGAAAAGAGGCCAGCACCATCCTCCTCACTGCCTCCCTTGAGGTACTTCTAGACACTGCTCAGGTCCCCTCTCAGCCTTCTCTTCTCCAGGCTGAACAGGCCCAGCTCCCTCAGCCTCTCCTCATAGGGCAGATGTTCCAGGCCCCTGATCATCCTTGTAGCCCTGCGCTGGACTCTCTCCAGCAGCTCCACATCCCTCTTGTACTGTGGAGCCCAGAACTGGACACAGTACTCCAGATGCGGCCTCACCAGGGCTGAGTAGAGGGGTAGGATCACCTCCCTCGACCTGCTGGAGACGCTCTGCTTAACGCAGCCCAGGATCCCATTGGCCTTCTTGGCCACGAGGGCACACTGCTGCCTCATGGTCAACTTGTCGTCCACCATGACAGCCAGGTCTTTCTCTGCAGAGCTGCTCTCCAGAAGGTCGGTCCCCAGCCTGTACTGGTGTCTGGGGTTATTTCTCCCCAGGTGCAGGACCTTGGCCTTGTTGACTTTCCCAGAGCTAAGCAGAGTTCTTACTCAAGCATCAGTCACCTATGCAGGGTTCACTTAGCAAACTTCATATTGTTCCATATCAAATGCAGCAAAATTATCGCAGCCAGTTACAAGGCAATGAGAGCACAATAAACCCTATCACATTAGAGTAGTGCGGGGGAGCTAGTTATATTTCAGGGATACGCAATGTGCCAAAAACAAAGGCAGAGAGGAGGACAGAAATCACAAAGCAAGACTGCTGTCTGGATAAAATTCAGTCACTATGAGGCATACATTTTACTGGAAAAAAGTCTGTCGCCTTTGACATTTTCTCCTCCCACCCTGTTAACACGCAACTTGGGTTTGTCTCTGCTGAGAAGGCAGAATCGGCATCTCAAGTCACAGAAATTCTCCCAACCACCGCTGGAAGAGACTTGCCCTTTCGTCAAGGGAAAGACGAGGTTAACACCACGCACACTGCTCGGCTTCAACAAAAAGCCACCTCATTTGCACAGTGGTCAGTACTGCTGAGTTGTTTTGGAGGGAATCAGTGTCTTTCCAGAGTTTTCTACCTTCCCTTCTTGCCGCTAATTTCACTTGACTGTTCAGAGACTCTCTCTGTGCTTGAGGAAACATCTTCCCATGAGCATTAGCTGCATCTACCCCTCGGCATGAGCTGCTACCTGCTGCTATAAAGTGCTCTTCTGCCACCTCTGCCTTCTCCTGGGTATGTTCAAGGGTTTCCAACAGATGTGGGATTACAAGGGAGCAGCTCTGCTTTCCCAAGTACATTTTCTGCAGTGTCTAGAGAAGCTTAACACCTTGTTTGACCCATCCTCTCTTGGCTTCTTCCTAATTAATGAGCTTATTCACTTGTATGTGGACAGCTTCTGCGAGCAACACTGTTGTTCCTGAAATGCTTTGGCCTCTCATGCCCATCCCCTTGTTTGTCCCAGGTCCCGCAGTTGCTACCTGGGAAAGGGGAATTAAACCCATTTGGAGGACAGAAGGCAGCAAGGAAGGGGGCAAGCTCTAGTCATCAAGCCAGGCAGGCCATAGGTCCGGACTGAATGCAAAGAAAAGGAAAAAGC